TTCTGCATCTGAGCTACATTCTTTTTTTTTGGTACCAGAGATCAAACTCATGACTTCACGCTTGTCAGGCGAGTGCTTACTCCATTGAGCTAAATCCCTGGCCCCTGAGCTACATTCCTAACAGCAAAGATTCTTCATTGCAAATTTATGCTGTCATTTAAATGCAGTACTTGAATCTGTATCAATCCTGAGGTTGAACAACCAATATCCTGTTTTATCAATTTTAAGATACAGATATGCCATTTTCATGTTTATTTTCATCTGAGCTATATTTTTTCTCTCTTCTGACATGGGGTCTCAATGTATTTAAACCTGGCCTTGAACTCACTATGTAGCCTAGGCTGACCTCAAACTCAAGCAGTCCTCTTGCTTCCGCCTGAGTGCCGGGACTACAGATGCACACCCCTGTACCTGGCCCTCAGCTATATTCTTACATCCTAACTCTAGAATATTTTCTGTCTTAATCTTATAGGATATGGAAGCCACTTGCTGACTGGTGCTTATCTCTTTACTGAAATTCTTTGTTGGTTTGAATACTTTTCTTATTCTCTAGTCTAACTGCTTATCCTTCCACTTTATTGGATCTTCCTACTTTCTGAATACCATGTGCCAATTCTACACCAAAATACCCCTCATACCCAACACCCTCATCACCCTAATCTAATATTACCTTCTATGTGGATTTATACAGCAGTCTCTCAACTTGTCTCACACTTATTGCCCCTCCAATTCCAGATTGATTTATTAAGTATTTTGGGCTGTTATTCTGCTAGAAACTCTTGAGAAGTTTTCAAATTGCATTTTAAAAATTGAAACTAGTCAGTGACTCCTTTCCCAAACTCTTACTGTATTTTTGATCCCAAGAGTGTATTGTAAGTAAGAGTCTCCATATATTCTACTATATTTCAAATGAAAATGAAAACAAAGGCACACAAAAGTAAATAGTATGTTATCACATACAACAAAAGGAGCATATATACATATACACACATACACATTATTCATGTACTTATGTGTATATATATATGATGCTGTGCATTTATTTACATATGCATACTTCTAAAAAGATATATAAGAAACTGGTCATGTACATGGCTTTATAAAGGTATGAATAGCCTGAGGTGGAAAAGAAACATCATTGAAAAATCTTTTGAAAGGAAAGGGGATTTATGGGGAGGAATGGAAGGGAAAAGAAAAATAAAACAAAACCAAACAGAAGGATAAAAACAGAAACAAAGCTTTGGGGCCAGGGATTTAGCTCAGTGGAGTAAGTTCCTACTTGGCAAGTGTGTAGTGGTGAGTTCAATCCCCCCCACCCCCCAAAGAAACAAAGCTTTGTAAATAAGGAGGGGAAAAAGCATTGAAGAGAGGGGAATAGGAAAAAAAGAGATTTTCTTGAAAATATACTGAGCTGTTTCTTCCTGACAAGTTCAAGACTTTCATTCTTATACCTAATTCAAAAGGTCTTTAAACCCAAAGCTCTTTTGCTTTACCTAAACCTTCTCCCTTATTATTTATGACAATCACACTGTTTTCCTTAAACATAGGATTGTTTTCATCATTTTAGATTCTTACCAGCATCTATAATGGGTCTCTTATTTAGCAAGCCAAGCTTCCAAAAAATGTCTACTGCAAACAGGTTTAATACCTTCCATAGCAGTATATTATTTCCTAACTTATCAAAATTCCTTCAGGAATTTTTACCAATAATAAACTTTTTCTTTATAATTTTAGCTTATATCAGTTTCTCCCATCTCTTAATTTTCTATTGCCCATGGCTGTGAAATGCACATTTGTAGTTTATATTTTATATTGGCACACACCTGGTATGGAATTTTAACCTTTCTATACCCTATTTGCCTATCTGTGCAATGCTTTCATAGGCCTTCAATGATGACTGGATCAAAACACTTTATTAGCAATCTTACTATCATTCTGCATTCTTCTCTCCCAATAAATCTGAGGTGACAACTTTCGTATACTTTTCTCTTAAACCCAATTAATACACAACTGTGTCTAAAAAATTTTATGTCTATATATCCGGATATATTCTGCTTTTGATTCAGTTAAGAACAGTGGGATTCATTTCAGTTAACTTAAAAACTTGACACACACATCAGGCATTTTATTTCATACTGCATTGTATAATCATTCTTATCTCTTTCCAAAATATATGTTTAAATACTCAACAAATTTATTGGGAAAGTACATCTTTTCCCCATTAACTTTAGCATACACATTAAGGAAGAAAGCAATGTCACTGAACGATGACTTCTGATATTTAGTCATTTCACATTCAATTTGACTCACTCTTATTTTAAGCCTACTCAACTTCTGGAAGAAAATAAGATGTATTCTAAGCAAACAATTCAGTAACTGGCTCATTTTAGAATTGTAATATTAGGAACATTAAATATTTCTTTCTGAATTTATTCAATGTACTTTTGTCAAAATATCATATAAATGTCTGTAATCAAGTTTTTAATTAAAATCCACTAATATTTAATTCTAATTAAAAATTAATTTTTAATTGGTACCAGGGATTGAACTCACGACTGCAGGCTTGCAAGAGAGGCGCTTATGCTGCTGAGCTAAATCCCCAGTCCCCTCCAAAAAATTAAGTTTTAATTAAAAATTAACACGAATAAGATTAGTGAAACACATAGATGATGACATTAAAAACATTTCTAGTAAACATAAAAATATTATTTGAAAATCCTAATTTGTATAACTTATAAAAAGTGTTAAGTAAAATTTTGGTGATAACAAGAACTGTATTTATTACGAAAAAACCAAAATTTAAACAGAGTGTAGTGACACACACACATGTAATCCTAGCACTCTGGGAGGCTGAGATAGAAAAATGGCAAATTCAAGTTCAATCTGGGCAGCTTAGTGACAAACCATGGCTACTGATAAAAATTAAAAAAGGGTTGAAGGTGTAGCTCCTCAATGTGGAGGTTCTGGATTCAATGCCCAGTAACACTACACAACAACAACCCTCCAAAAACACAAAACAACTCACTAGTTACAGAAAATATTTACCAATAGCACAAAATTTTTAAGTATACTGTTCTTTATGACTTTATAGATTTTAAATGCATACAAAAATGCCAGTCATCTGGAACTAGTTTTATAAGAAAGTAATACACATGAAACTATGTCTCCAAATTTGTAAAGTATTCACAGAACCACTGTGTATTTTTAATTTATGTTGGGACACTACTTTGTAAATAAACGTTTGCCATGATGTGATCTTTCCAACAGCAATAAAACCTAAAAGACCACGTAAACAATTTGAGAAGAATTCACATAATTCAAGTTGTAGGGAAATGTTAGGAAGCAAATTTCCCCCTCAAAATTTAAAAAGGGTCAAATTTCTTGACAATTTTATATTCATGTAAAGAGAAAAAAATGACAAAATAACAGTATTTCTCTAGAAGTAAGAAAAAAAACAAATTAAATTTATCTTAAAATGTCTAAGGTATGGGGAAAAATCTTTAGGTGCTCAATTTAAAACAAATGTTTAATAGGATTTTTCACCAAAAAAAATTTTATTTTTGTACCTGGGATTCAACTCATGACCTCACACTTGCCAGGCAGGTACTTGTGCCACTGAGCTAAACCCCCGGTGCCAAAAATTTTTAAAAAAAATATCCTAAGTAGAGAAAAAAAATCTTAATTGAAATTTAAAATATTTTGAAAAACTGCAAGTGTTATTGATCAGTAAAAAAACTTTCACTACTGAAAACTGTCCAATAGACACAATTTCATTCTTTCAATTGTAAATTGTTTATTTGGTAGCATTCAAATTTTCATAGACCTTGAAGTAAGCTTGATGTTATAATAAATATAATCCTAAAATAATTTATCTTTTTCTTCCAAAATTTCTGCCATATTTGCTTTATATACTACACATAAAATGGAAATAACCCAAATACCTAATAGGTGTATATAACACATCAGAATACAACACAGTGTTTTAAAAAAAACCAGCTAGATCTACATTGGTAACATAAATACATCTTCAAACTTTCTGAAAAATCCAGGTTGCAGAATACATGTTGAGGATGATAGCAGTTGAGTAAAGTTTTAAACACAAAAGACTACACATTGTTTATGAATACATACATATGCAGAAAAAGATATAATAAAACCATGTACAAAAAGAATACATATCAACTTCCAAACAGTGTTGTCTATGTAGAGGATAGTGAATAGGTAAATAGAATGGATACAAAGGGGACTTTAACTGTATCAGTAATGTGTCATATTACAAAAAAATTTGAAACAAATATAATGTTAACATTCTTAAATCTGTTGGTGTTACAGATACCCATTATATTATTTGCAACTACTTTCCAGTTCGATATATTTCATAATAAAAATGAAAACATTCACAGAATAGAAATGTTGAACGTGCTACTATTTTTAGATTAAATATGTATATTAAAACACAACACAGGTTTTCTCTCCCAAGACAATAAATACAAACAAATGTTACATAATTTTCAATATAAGTTTGTAAAGTATCCCCTGATTATTAAAAAAAAAATACAACAATTAAAGAACAGGACTTAAATGCTCCTTCAAAAACTCACTTGAGTCAAAGATCTAATTTCACCTCAGGAACAGGCTTTCCTTGCTTTAAAAAAATGCCCCTTTGAATTTTCTTTCATGTCATTTCCTTCAAATGTGATTCAGAATAAAAGGTTTGGTGTACAAGGTATAAATGAGACTCGGCTTACTTTATTTAACAAATACATTGTATTCTAATATAAACTAACAGTGGCTCACTTCAAAGATAATAAATTAGTGCCAGTACAAAAACTTTCACTTTTCAGGGTAAAACTTTTAACCTGTAAGGGAAATACACAAGGTCACTAGCTTTATTTACCAAGTATTTTTTTCTTGTCAGGAAAGCATTGCCATCTTTGCCAGATTAATACTTCCTTGATCACAGATGAGGTCTTTCAAATTAAAGATAAACAACTACTTGCCTGTTGTTTCTGATATGCAGTGTTTGGATTTATCTTTGATTCCAAGAGAAGTGATCCTGAAAGATTAAAAAAAATTATCAGTCTCAAATTATAAAACCCTCAATAAAATGTATATGAACACACATTTTAAAAAACCAAATCTTTTACATCCCTCTACCCAGCTGAACATCTGAAATACTATTATTCTCATTCAATTTTCTCCTCAGAGCTGTGGTATAATTTAAAAATATTCTATCCAATCCCCATATATCCTTAAAGAGGGAAAAAAATCTACCTAATACTATTCAAAGATGAGATAAGAGATTATTGAAGTTTCACTGAAATGAAAATTTTGAAGTATGAGTGACGACTTGAAGTCAAAGTGCATTTTAACAAAACCTGTTTATTTCATTTCCAGTCAAATAAAAATTAGATCACGACAGAAACCTACGCACTCAGTATATGAATTAGTGCTAAAATTCATCCTACTAACTCAAAGAAAAGAACACCTTATGTAGAAATAAATTTCTTTGAGTACTGAAAAAAGAGTACAAAATATGTCAAGAATATATTTACCTATTTTTTTGCACACATCAGTTGCTCAAACCGAGGCATTCTGATTACAACGTAAAAGATATTTTACTTAGTCATAAATCTTATAATTTTAAAATACTTCACTCGAATTCTAACAATCAACAAATACCAATTTACAGTCTGCTTTGGTGACCTAACTTGCTTAAGAGTATCAGGTATCCACTTTTCCAGCACCTTTTAAGAAAGCAGCCTGACCTGTATGGTGGCATCGGACTGCAAGAATCCCAGAAAAACAACCTTTTTGGTTTTCATTCGCGACAGTAGTGAGGCTCGTAGCCAAAACTGGTTCAAAGAAGAAAGGTCCTCACTAAAAGTTTCACTAAAGCTTTGCACTAGCCTCATCACGGATAAGAATTAAAGGAGAGCGGGAGAGGGAATCAGCTACCCGGGGCCAGCAAATGCTTATCTCGCCGCTGACTACTTCCTCCCCACTCTCACCCGCACGCTGTAAACCTCTGCAAAGGAGGAGGGACCAGACCGGAGGGGGTCAAATCCCTAACGCGGACAGGAGGCGGGGGAAACGGGATCCGCGTCTCGCCGCGGTAAACCCAGCCAAAGTAGTTCGTTTTCCCCATCCAGAAGAGCAGACCCAGCCCGGCGCTCTCCCAGGAGACGGGATTAAAAGTAACGGGCCCAGCGCCTGAACCCCAGGCTGCACCACAGCCGGAGCCCTCCGTCGGCAGTGCCGGGCTTACCGTCGGACTCTGCCCGGACCAGCAGTGACATCCCCTTGAGCTCCTCCACGTAACTGGAGGAGACGTGCCCAGTGCCTCGGTCGTCCCATTGCCGGTCTTCGTTCAAGGTATACACCTTCACTCGTCGCCGTGTGTCCGACATGGCTGGTAGCTTTGTCCCCACCGTTCTGGCCGCAGCCTCCTCGCTCACCTCCTCCAGGAACCTCAGTCTTCGGAGACGGTAGCGGCGGCGGTGGCAACGGCAGCTCTGGAGAGGCCCGAGTTCACCATGGCTCCCAAAGTTCAGCCGCGAGAAGGGGTGACGGGAATTACCGAAACCCCTTCGCTCAGAACGTCCGTTACCTCTCACTTAACCCCTGCGCGCACCCACCCTCCCCTCCCCTCCCTTCGCCCCCCAGAGCTCGCTCTCCTGCCGCCGCCGCCGTAACTACTACAGGTCCGCCATCTTGTAATTCGACTCTCTCGGCCTTTCTCTTCCTCCTCTAGCAGGCTCACACGGGCTGCCCTCGCAGGGGCTACGGCAGCCGGCGAGCTCAAAACACGTCACTTGATCCTCCACACGAGCTTCCAGAGCCAGGATGCCCCGAGCTGTAAAGAGCAGCGAGTTACGTGCCGAAGGGGCGGGCCTAAGTAGACTTCCGTGTCTTTAGGCCCGCCTCCGGCACGGGATCTTGATTGGTGGGAGGCTCTCGCGAGTTCTAGGTCCGGGTCCGCGCCGCGTCAAAGCCCCCCTGCGGAAGGCGGCTGATCTGTAGGTTTCCGAGTGTAGGGACCCAACGCTGACAAAGAGCAAAGGTATTTTCAGAAGCAGGCATCTTTGAACAGGACTATCCCGGAACAAAAGAGAAAGAAAGGTGTTTGTACAAGAACAAGTGGAAACACCATGACAGCCTGAAACAGAAACATAAGTTTAAATCTTTGCGTGAAGACGAAGGAATGAGCCTTTTCAGCTGAACCCAAACGCACTAACTCTTGGTGTAGAATCTGTTCCGGTTAAGATCTGTCCAGGAAATGTTCTGTGGACACTAAAATCGCAAGGCGATTCTGTATCTTATAAAGGTGTGTTGACTATTTCCTATTTCCCGCCAAAGGGTTTTGTTGTTGGGCTCTCGTAGTAGATGGCCATTGAAAAGCGAAGTTTCGGCTTTATGAAATACCCTTTGTATTGTATTGCTTGTTTTTAGCCTTGCAGAGTAATTCTAGATAAAGTGGGCCAAGTGGCGAGGATCTGCCTTGCTAACTCAATGAGTACTATTTTGATATCTTAAATTGCTCTTGTGGGCAGCAGTTCCTGAGCAAGGGAGGAAATCGCTGCACTCACGTAGTCACATATGGTACAGTGGATATGCCTTGCTTTAGGCCATAGTAGCACGTAGTTCATTAAATTTAATACAGCTAAGCCCTTTGGCTGCTCCAGCTGCGTGTTCAGTGTAAACAGGTGACCTGAGCTGAAAACCAGTGAGTTGCTTACGTTGAGGCTGCGGTGCATTTTGGGAGTTGTAGTCGTTATCAGGGGGATTGTCAAAGCATGCTTCTGTTTTGACCAGATTACTTACATGTGAACGTTCTTCACCGCTACGGTGAAGTGTCTTCCACAAACTGAGCGCCTGTTTAAAAGAAATTACAATTTCAAGATCTGAATTTATAGGTTTAAAAAAATTATTAGGGACCTCAGAAAATGTACTTAAGGTGTTGTAACGTACAGAATAGTTGTCATAGGTGTGAGGGAAAATATATGTTGAGCTAGTGAAAGTATAATCTTTTTTTCTTCTTCCTCTTCCCCTCTCCCTGCCTTTTTCCTCTCCTCTCTTGCTCCTCCTCTTTTTCCTTCTTCTGCTTTCTTCTTTGCCAGGTGTTACTATGCAGTTCAGGCTGGCCTTGAACTCACTTTGTAGCCCAGGCTGGCCTTGACCTGCAGTTATCCTCCTGCCTCATCCTGCCCAGTGTCGGGGTTACAGGCATGCACCACAATGCCCAGCTTCATTTCTGTCGTGAAAGAGCCAGAGAAATTTTTTATAGACAATTTTTGAGTCCAGTGTCTTGAGAATATCCCAGCCTTCTCTCTAAGGCCTGCTTATATTAACTGGACATACTGCAGTAACTTCTTGGCTACTAAGGAGGACAGATCTTGGGAAGAGGACTGGGCAAACCTAGGAAGCAGACTTAGCCTTTACAGAAGGGAATTCTTAAGGTGTTAAGTGAATAATCTTAAGTGGAGAGTTATCTCCATGTAGACACATCCCCTTGATTTCATGGGCTTCTCACCCCATTGGGAAATGCATGTATAGATGGCCAGAGCAAGGCCCTTTGTGATACAAGGATGACACAAGGCACGCTGCCTGCTTAAGTCTGAGGGCAGAAATGTACCCCAACCAAATATTTTCCTGGGAGAGTGTCTTTTGTTGAGGCACACATACAAAAAGCCAGAGTGTCTACCCAGTGAACCCTGTTATTCTGATAAATAGTGCTTTTTTTTTTTTTTTTTTTTTTTGGTACTGGGGATCGAACTCACTACTTCACGCTTGCCAGGGCAGACACTTATGCTGCTAAGCTAAATCCCCGGCCCATAAATAGTGCTTTTACATGTGCAAAATTTAGAAGGCAGAGTAAGATGCAGAATCCAAACAAAGTAAGTCTCTTCAGTTCCTATATCGTGCTACTCATTTTCCTCTTGGAATCAAAACTATTCCATTTTCCTGTGCACATTGCCTGACCACAACCAGCTTCACAGAAATGTAACCTATTGAGCCATGTGCTTGTTTTACTGATCTCTTATCACTGGCTTTGAAGTTTTGATAATTCTTGAACAGGGATCTCATAAACTATACAGCTTGTTCCAGAGACAGCCTATGCATAGAGAAGTAAACATACATGTTTATGTATATATATATATATGAATATATATATATATATGAATATATACAGTATATACATATATATATATATATATATGAATATATACAGTATATACAGTTGTCTTTCCATAACTTGGAGGACTGGTCCTAGGACCACGATAGATACCAAAATCTGTATATGCTAAGATCCTTTATATAGAATGGAGTTTTTTTTTTTGCATATAACTCAGTACATCTTCCAGTACACTTTTAAGACATCGCTAGATTATTTATAATACCCATTACAATGCATGTTATATACTTGTTATACTATATTGTTCAGGGATTAATGAAAAAATCTATCTTTTGAGCACAAATTCATTTTTTTTCCTGAACATTTTCCATCTAAGTTTGGTTAAATTAACAGAGGCTGGACTCAATTACCCAAATGGAGGGATAACCCAGATGGAAGGTAATCTCTTGGCATTTGCTTCTCTGAAGACTAGAACTGACATAGGTAGTACACCAGCTGGTGCAAGGAAACAGGTATGTAAGGAGTTTGAGGAAGGGCTTTATTTAGTTTCTGGCTGTCTTAGTCACTTTTCGTGTTGCTGAGACAAAATATTTGATTCCCACAAGTTACGGGAGCAAAGGGTTATTTAGCTCACAGTTTGTAGAGGTTTCAGCTCATAGCTGGCTGGTTCCAACACAGGGTAGCATGGCAAAGATGCACTGCAGAGGAGGAATAGTCCATGATTGGCAGGTGGAAAGCAGTGAGAAGCAAGCAGAAAAGCAGCAGCAGTGAAACAGCAGAAGCTGTCTTTACATTTTCTCAGGCTGTAAGCCTTTTGGTGCCACCCACACCCAATGTGGGGCACAGTTAATCCCAGTATCACACACTCTAGATCCAGACATCTTTGAAACTCCCCACCTATGATGGCATGAGATTTTGGGGGGTCATCTAGATACAAGCCATAACACTGGAAACAATGTAGCCACCCTGTTACTGAAGATTTCACCAGTAGTAGGAAACCATTCCAATTCCAAAAAAGAGAATTGCGTAACAACTGAAGCATCTGAGCTGGCTGTGGTGATGCTCACCCGTCCTGTAATCTCAGCACTTTGGGAAGCTGAGAGGACTGCTAGTTCAGATTTAGCCTGGGCAGTTTAGTAAGTTAGCAACATCCTGTCTCAAAAGCAAACAAAAAACCAAAAACAAACTCATTGAGATTGAGATATGGAAAAGATACAAAGGAAACAAAGCTTATTGAAAGAGGCTATTTCTTACAGTGGAAAGTAGATGTTGGCATTTGATGGTCACAAAACTCTAAAGATACTGAATTCTCAGCATAGCCACTGCTGTGCAGTAAAGGCCCTGGTTAGCAAAGCCTGGCACTTTGAAATATGGATGGGTGCCCTTTAGATTTTGGCTATAGAGACACCTCTGGACCCTCAGAGCTTGCAGGGAAAAGTCATACCTCCCAATAAGAACAAGTACTTTCCTCTCTGCAGGAAGCTGTCTTCTACAGCTGTTCTTATTTCCCCTTACGAAGCTAAGGTAACGAGGTTTAACTCTCACATGATCTGTGTGGGAAGTGCAGGGGGACCTGGTAAAGGAAGAAGACTGCTGGTATGTGTTGTCAGGAGACAGAGGGCTACATTTGGGATGGGATTAGATAGCGCTCAGACTGAATAAGTAAGACTTTTTGATTTAGGCACTTTTAGGGGGAGAGATTTAACCCTCGCAAGGACTCCACAGGTTGGGGCAAACTTACTGTTAGGTTGGGACTTCAAAGCATGAAAAAGCAGTTGCCTGTACCGAGGGGAGTGGAAATAAGCTCAGAGCAAGGCAGCTTTTTTTTTGTTTGTTTGTTTTTATAACTTTAAAGAGAATAAAAGGAAATTTCAAAACAAGATAATAAAAGGGTAACGATGGTTAATACATTGCATATTATTATCTTTAAATTAGTTACTCAGAGTACAAGATACCAGCATTTACTTGTCCAAATATGAGCACAAACCTTTCAATGAACTTAAGAGAAATTAGTAGTATAACTATCTTAACTACTATATATATATGTATAATTTCTTTCAGCTTCTCATACTAGGGAGATAATACTATGTTTACACATGTGAGTCTGGTTTGTTTCACTTATGAGTATGGCCTCTAGTTGTATCCATTTACCTATAAAAGTCCCAAATTTATCCTTTATGGCTGAGTAATACTCCATTGTATAAAAATACCACATCTTTTCTATTGAGACTTCATTTGATGGGAATTTAGGTTGTTTCCATGATCTGGCTATTACAAATTGTGCTGCTATAAACATGAGTGCGCATATATCACTGTGGTATGGTGTTTCTAATTCTTGTGAAAAAATTCTGGGAGGATACCCAGAAGTGAATTAGCTAAGTCAGTAGAGCTTCGACTCCGAATTGTTTTTTGAGGAGGTTGCCTTGAGTGAAAACAAGGGCCTTGTGCTTGCCACGTAGGTGCTGCCCCACTGAGCTACAACCCCGGCAATCCTAAC